TCACCGGATCCTCCAGAAGGCGCCCTCTGCCGCCCCAAAGGTGCCGAAGCCCAGGGCGAAGAAGAAGCCTGGCTCGCGGCCGCGGGGGCCGCCCTCCAGGGTCGTCGTCGTCGTCATCGTCGTCGTCGTCGTCGCCGCCGTCGCCATCGTCGTCGCCGCCGCCACCCCTTGGGCCGTCCTGGGGGCCCAGGGGCTCGCCCGAGAGGCAAACATCATTGCTAACCATTCGAATATTCGTCCTCGCCGTCGTCGTCGTCGCCGCCGCCGCCTCGTGGGCCGTCCTGGAGGCCAAGGGGCTCGCCCAAGAGGACAACACCATTGATAACCATTCAAATTTTCGTCGTCGCCGTCGTCGTCGCAGCAGCCGCCGCCGCCGCCACCGCCATCGTCATCGTCGTCGTTGTCGTCGTCGACGTCGTCGTCGTCGCCGTCGCCGCCGCCGCCGCAACCGCCGCCGCCTCGCCCTCGCCGCCGCCGCCTCTGGGAACGTCCTGGAGGCCGAGGGGCTCGCCCAAGAGGCCAACATCATCGATAACCATTAAAACAAAACACCGTCGTCATCGCCGCCGTCGCCGTCGCCGCCGCCGCCACCGCCATGGTCGCCGCCGCCGCCGCCATCGTCGTCTTTGCCGCCGCCTCTTGGGCCGTCCTGGAGGCCCAGGGGCGCCCAAGACCCCAACACTACTATTGATGACTATTCAGATATTCGTCGTCGTCGCCGCCGACGTCGCAGCAGCCGCCGCCGCCGTCGTCTCCGCCGCCGCCGCCTCTTCGGGCCGTCCTGGATGCCCAGGGGCTCGCCCAAGAGGCCAACATCATTGATACCCATTATTAAAATATTCGTCGTCGTCGTCGTCGCCGTCGCCGCCGCCGCCGCCGCATCCGCACCCGCCGCCGCCGCAGTCGTCGTCCTCGTCGTCGTCGTCGTCGTCGCCGCCGTTGGGCAATCCTGGAGACCCAGGGGCTCACCCAAAAGGCCAACACAACCATTCAAATATTCGTCGCAGCCGCCGCCGCCGTCGTCGTCGTCGCCACCGCCGCCGCCATTTTGAGCCGTCCTGGAGGCCCAGCGGCTCGCCCAAAAGGCCAACACCATTGATAACCATTCAAAGTTTCGTCGACGTCGTCGTCTTCACAATCGCCGCTGCCGCCGCCGTCGTCGTCGTCGTCGTCGTTGTCGTCTTTGTCGTCGTCGTCGTCGCCGCCGCCGCCGCATCCGTCGCCGTCGCCGTCGCCGCCGCCGTCGCCGCTCCCGCCGCCGCCGCAGCCGCCGCCGCCGTCGTCGTCGTCAGCGCCGCAGCCTAGAGGCCCAGGGGCGCGCCCAAGACCCCAACATCTTTGATAACCATTCAAATATTCGTCGTCGTCGTCGCCGTCGTCGTTGCCGCCGCCGCCTCTTCGGGCCGTCCTGGAGGCCCAGGGGCTCGCCCAAGAGGCCAACATCATTGATAACCATTCAAATTTTCGTCGTCGTCTTCGTCGTCTTCGTCGTCGTCGTCGTTGCGAGCAGCGCCTGCTGCCAGACCAGCTTTGCGACCGTCTCTCTTCCCGCCGTGACATTTCGGCGCCCTCCAAGGCAGCAGCGGTGCAGAATGCAAACCCGAGCGACAAGTTCGACACCACCGACGCCATCGGCGGACACGGGATGAAGAACCAGAGCTGGGAGGGCACTCTTGAATCCAACGCTGCGCCTCCCGCAGTTCAGGCGCAGTCAGCTCACTGGCCAACCCCGACTGGCAAGCTTCCTCCCCTGTCTGTCCACTTGAGATTCCTGCTCTCATGGGGCTCACCTTGGGACACCTACGCGCTATGCTTTCCCCAGCCGCACTCCCCGCCTGACCGTGTCCTCCACACGGATCAGCCATCAAAAACACTTGTTTCGGTCACCGGCCGCAAGCGGACAGGCGGCGGTCGAGCGACGGCGGGGCGCGCAGGGGCAACGCGTTGCGAGGACAAAGGAGCACGAGGCATGCATAAATATATGTATATTCATCGAACCATCGCGCGCGCTTCGCGCGCGCTCAATTTCTAGCTAGGCTTGATGGGCTAATTCATGGGCGTCGACGAAGAGGATAGGGAGTAGGAGCCCCAATTTTAAAAGAAATGGAATATATGGCATTCCCTTTTTTTCAAGTTCCTCGGCGCTGTTTGGCGCTGCTTTTGGGCCTCGCGGGTTTTCAGCTGGGCCCCTCAGGGGTCTGCGGCCTTCCGGACCCCCTAGAGGTCCTGGAGGCCTCTCGGAGGCTTCATGGGGCGTCCTGCTCCCGCTCTTGGGCCCATCTTGGGCCTCTCCTGGAGTGCTCTAGCGTTGGAAGCTCGAAAACGCGAGAAAACCAAAAACCTCGAAAAAACATGTAAACCAACGATTTGGGTGTCTTCGGGGCGGCGGCCTTTCCCCGATTTCGAGTGGATGAAGATGGCTAGGATGTCGGATGGACAAAGAAATGTCGAGGAAGAGGATAAGGAGTAGGAGTCCCAACTTGAAAAAAAACAGAACCTCTAGAATTCCATGTTTAAGAAGTTCCTCTGTCTGTGAGCGTTGGAATCGAGAAGACGTGAGAAGGCGGAAAAACATAGAGAAAAAACACTACCCTCTTGGGGCTCTCTCGGGACGGCTCTCGAAGCTCTCTTGGGCTGTTTGGGGGGCCTCGTCGGGGCTTTTCTGTGGCCTCTCAGGGGTCTGGGGTGTGTTGGGGGCCTCTGAAAGGTCTTATAGGCCTCTTGGAGGTCTCTGGAGGCCTCCTGCTCCCAGTCTTGAGCCCATCTTGGGCCTGTCCTGGGGTGGTCTGGGGCTGTCCTGGGCGCCTCTTCGGCAGTCTTGGGGCCTTCTTGGCCCGTCTTGGGGCCGTCTTGGGCGGTCTTGGTGCGGTCTTGGGGGCCTCTTCGGCCGCCTTGGAGCGTTGGAAGCATGAAATGGTGAGAAGGTCTAAAACCTACCAAAAGAACAATGAAACATGAACGATTTTAGGTTCTCCGGGCGCTCTCGGGAGGCCTCTCGGAGCTCTCTTGAAGTCTCTTGGAGGCTTTCTGGGAGCCTGGAGAGCCGTCCGAAGGCTATCCTGGGTTGCTTGGGAGCGTCTTTCTAGGGGCTGTCCTTGGGCGTTTGGGGGGCCCCCCCAAAGGCCGGGAGGCGCGGTACCGGGTGCGTTTCGCAGATGTCACGGGGAGGCGTGGGACCCCAGCGGGGCCGTTTATATATATATATATATATATATATATATATTCATATATATATATATATATATACATTCATTCATATATATATACATACATATACACATACATCATACATACATACATACATACATACATACATACATACATACATACATACATACATACATACATACATACATACATACATACATACATACATACATACATACATACATACATACATACATACATACATACATACATACATACATACATACATACATACATACATACATACATACATACATACATACATACATACATACATACATACATACATACATACATACATACATACATACATACATACATACATACATACATACATACATACATATATACATACATACATACATGCATGCATGCATACATACATACTCATACAGATACACCTATCAGTATTATTTATGGTGTGAGTTTTGATTCACCTTTTCACCAAAACAAAACACCTGAGACTCGCTGGCTGGGCCCCGCGCCTCTCGTGGGCCTCCCCAGCCCCCCACCCGCCGGCCGCCGCTCCAGCAGTCGCTCGGGCGCCCCGCGCCCGTCGGGCGGGTACCCGCCTTGCGCCTCGAGGCCTCATCCCGCTGCCGGGGGGGGGATGAGCAGACGACTCTTCCCTTACCATTCTGACGTCTCCCTCGCCCCCCGAAAGGTCGAGCTCGACGATGGCTTCACGACGGCGGCGCCAGTGCGCCGATCGGCCTCCTGTGGGCCACGCTCAGGTTCCAGAACCGCATTGACAGAATGGTAAGGGATGCGAGCCATCACGGGGAGGGGGGGCTGGGAGTCCACCCTAGGGGGCCACATGCGAACCCTACCCCTACCCCCCACGACTTCTGAGAGGGAGGGTGGGGTTCACTTCGCTCGAGAGCTCCCGAACGAAGTGAACCCCACCCTCCCCCTCAGAAATCGTGGGGGGTAGGGGTAGGGCTCGCATGCGGCCCCCTACACCCGCCTCCCGCCCTCGCGCGGGCTGCTCCCCTCCTGGTGCGGGGATCCGCCGTGCCCCCCGTCCGTCCTCTCGCTCCCCTCTCCGCCTGCCCATTCCAGACGGCCCTAGAGCGCCCAGAGAGGGAGGGACCAAACGACTACCAGACGGCATCCGAAGGCCCAGAGGGCCATTGCAGGCTCCCAGATGCCCCCTAGAGGCCCCCGGGAGGCCGCAGGAAGCCCCCAAGAGGCCCCAGGAAGCCCCCAGAGCCCGTCAGGAGAGGCTCCCAGGAAGCCCCCAGGAAGCCACAAGACGGCATCAAGAGGTATCCTTGTCCTCCTCCTCCTCCTCCTCCTCTTCCTCCTCCTCTTCCTCCTCCTCCTCCTCCTCCTCCTCCTCCTGATTCCCCGCCTCCTCCTCCTCCGCCTCCACGTCCTCCTTCTCCTTAATCTCACCATCCTCTCCCTTTCTCTCATAGGTGTTCCCCAAAGGGGGTCCACAACTGCTGGGGAGTACATAGTCCAACAGCTTGGCCAGACTTTGGCCCAACGTTTGGCCGCGTGGGCGTTTCCAAAAGGCAGGGGGCGGCGGTGGTTCGCCGTAGGCGTCTTCGATAACTAAATTACTTGTTCCACAACTCCCAAGCTTCTCAGCCCAGCGCGGCTCCAGACGGGTCACGAGGATCAAAAAGAGGGGTCAGAGACCGCCGAAGATGGCCCCAAGGCGCCCCCATCATGGCCCGTGGGGTCCCCAAGACAGCCAAGGGGACCCCCAGGATGGCCATGCATCGGCCAAGAGGTCCCCCAAGAATCTCCCAAAGCAACCTCCTCCTCCTCCTCCTCCTCCTCCTCCTCCTCCTCCTCCTCCTCCGCCTCCTCCTCTCCCAAGATTCCCCTAATAAGCTCCGCAACGACCGGGGGGCACGGGACACTCGGTCCGGCAGCTATCGCTCAGACGCCGGCCCGACGTGCGGCCGGAACGCGGCTGCGGGCAAACGCAGCGGCTCGAGCGGATATCCCCTTAGTCTTTCTCGGCATCGCCTCGCTGCTCCCCTGCCTCCCTGCTGTGATACGATCTTTCCTCTCGCTCCAGTTTCCCGATTCTCACATCAGCTGCTGCTCTCCTGGCAGACTTTACTCACAGATGGAGTCAACACGCGCAGGAACATACGTACGTGCCCCCCCGCCCCGTGGACGTGCAGCAAGGTCCCCACTGGCGCCATGTTATGTGACACGAGTGTCACATGAAAATGCGCTGTCCTTGTATACTGAATACGTAAAAGGCAGTGCGCTGCCGAAGGACAAGAGCAGCAAGAAGTTCTGTATTTGGAATTGCACCTGGGGCTCGGAATTGATATTCAACGTGATCATCACTGCGACTACAAACTGTATCAAAAGCTGGCCCCATTTCTACAAAGCTTTGGCTGGCACCCTGCCGCAAACACAGCAGCGCCACAGCAGCAGGGACAATCAACGCGCATACACGCTTCACTGCATCGAGCAGATCCGCGGAGCTGTTTTCTGCGATCGCAGAGATGAATAGGCGTATGAATGCGGCTTGCACGGCCTCCTGAGCAGCGTTTTTAGCAACGGGAACCTGCAACGTCTTCACGACCATGATGAGAAAGAGGTCGTTACAACAGACCTGCGCAGCGTACAGCACGCACACCCACCACTGAGAAAGCGGCTTTATAACGGAAAATAGATTCACTCGTCTTCCGCGTCTGACCAGGGTGGCGTATGACCCAACCTTGCTAAGCTGGCGCTTCCGAGTCTCAACAAATTTGGAGGCGGCCAGTGGGTCTGAACTGGTTGGGACCCCAGAAAGTCGGTCAGGAAGGCGGATTAACCATCTGTCCCCAATCTGGCTGGGACCCCTCCTGGGATATATCTGGTGCAATGTTTAGCCCCGGAGCCGTTCCTGAGGGTCCTGGCGCCCGAAAACGGCCCCGAAAAAAGTAAAAAACAAAAAAAACAAAAAAAAAAAAAAAAAAAAAAAAAAAAAAAAAAAAAAAAAAAAACTTATCGAGCCCAAAACCTCGACCCTGCCCCGCCCTCATGCTGGCCGGAACCAGTGCTAGGCCACCTCAGACCCAAACGACTCCAACACCACATCCCTTCAACTACAATCATGCCTGCCTCGATCCTGCGCTCGCAGGACATGAAAAAAGTCTGGTTGCATTGGGCCGCACGTCACGTCAGGACATTTCAAAAAAATGAAACCCCGTGTTTACCTGCGTGCACTCATTCGCCTGCTAATGGTGGGTCACACTTCTGGGGGTCAGAGTCAGCACAAGGCAAACCAGGCAAAATGTTTTCTGAGAAACCTACGGGCCAAGACAAAGAATGTACAAAGGAAACATGAATTTCTAATACCGCGGAAACCGTTCAACCTCGAACGGATCAGCCGTTTCCGAAGCGTCAGATCGTTCAACATCGACCGATTCTGGGTCGCCGGCGGCGCTCAACGTTGAACGCCGGCGACGGGGTCACCGCCGGTCGACACGACGCGAACCTACCGTACATACCTGCGTGTACCCCATATCAGGATGCAGGCACAAATGCATTTTCAATATCATGACGCATCGTACACAAAGAAACACGAATGCCAAAGATAAGCCGGGTGAGACTAAGCGAAAACTGAAGATTCATCTCTGCCACCGTGCGATAGGCACCGGGTGGAATGTCCTCAGGTCCCTCGGAGTTCTCCGCGTTGAATATTGCAAGTGCTCTGTGATCTGTGAGGGCCCAGAAACTCATGTTCCGAGCGCTCCCTGGCGCTCTGAGGCGCTCCTGGTCGACCTTGGGACTTCCCGCGCGCCTTTTCCCGAGGCGCCATATCATTCTTCGCTTGGCCTCCGAAAGAGGGAGCCCGAGCTGGTCCCACGAGCCCTATTGTGCCAAGATGGCCCCCGAGACGGCCGAAAAGCACGGTCCCCAGATGCCCTCAAGAGGTCCCCAAGGGGTCCCCAGAAAGCCCCCAAGAGGCCGCCAAGAGGCTGCCAAGAGGCCCCCAAGAGGCCGCCAAGAAGCCGCCAAGAGGCCCCCGAAAGGCATTCCAAGAAACCACAAGAGGCATCCAAGGACCACTGAACCACAACCCAGGCAAGGTGGCGGGACGGGCCGGAAACCAGTAGATCCGCCGCCAACTGTGGCTTGCCTCAGGAGTGCACGGCGTGCCAGACGCATAAGCGATTCGGTTCTTTGAGAAGTTTCCAGTGGGGTCTCGGCCCAACCCGCCGGCCACCCGAAAGGACCCGCCAATTTTGTATCCCATCGGTCTTCCAGCGCAAGACGGCCCCAAGAGGGACTCCAAGACGGCCAAGACTTCCTCCAAGATGCGCCCGCCAGTCCCCCAAGGTACGGTGCGATTTGGCCACCCCTGGACCGTGGTCAGGGGCGCGCCCGCCCGGGAGGCCGCTCCACCACGGTACGGTGCGATTTGGCCACCCCTGGCTGCCAGCTTGGTCCCTGGTGGCGGGTTGGTCTGGGTGGGCTGCTTGGCGGGTTTGTTGGTTGGCTGGTTGGGCTGGCTGGTGTGCTGGCTAGCGGCTGGGGCACTTGGTTTCGATGCAACTGAAGCTACGCTTGGAACTGGAACTCGGGCTGATGCGGAGACAGCCAGGCTGAATCTCAGGCCAGAGCTATACCCAAGACCATGACTCAGGTGAGGTTAAAGTGTAGCCATAGGCTGCGGATGAAGCTGAGGCTGGGGTTACGGTCAAGCCTACCAAGGATAACGCGCAGGCTTGAACCTGGGCTAGGGCAACGGTACACCATATCCAGCAAAGCCAAGATTGGCTGGCGCGTCTTAAAAAAGCTCGGTTAAGCCAAGCTACGAAGCGTGTGCATGACTGTGACATCGGGGCTATGGTAAGCTGCGCAAAGCTCAAATGAACTATGCTGCATACAGCCATACCTCTCTATATCTAGAATCCCGACAGCGCTGACCTAGACAACAGCAAACTGAAGCTACACTGCGGCGCAAGAGGCCAAGTTCAGTCCAGCAAACAAACCTGATCACATCTCGGCCAAGATAACCCATCGTGGGCAGATTTCTCAAATTTTGCGCTGAGGACCTGTGCTTGACCACCGATTTCAGCAATACTGTGCCAGGCGCAGCTGAGTAGAGCGGGGCAGATCCTAACTACGTTGCGTGACAGTGGCATGTGCAAAATCAAAGTAGGTTGGATCTCGGTGCGATGAACTGATCATATCCCGTATGTACAATACAAGTACGCGCAACCTACGGAGAAATACACTCTTTAAGTCTCATCGCAATTAACGCGACGCCGCCCGGTGGCTGTAGACGATGAATCATGGCTGAAGGTCCCCTTCGAAGTTGGGAGGAACATCGAGCGCTCTTCGATGAGCGCCCCTTCAAAGTTGATGGGCGCACTGGGCGCTTGTCTGAATGGCCCCCCGCCCGCGCACCTCGATGCGTTGGCTTCAACTTTAGAAGGCGGGGGTAGGCTCCTTGCTGTGTGACGCCAGCTTTCCCAAGACGATGCTTGCACCGGGGGGTTCTCGCTTTGGTTTCTAGGAGGCCACCGAGACTTCACAACGTTCCCGCCCGTGGGCGCCTCATGGGCGCCTTGTGGGCGCAGGACGTGGGCGTCCCGTGCCTTGGATGGGTCCGCCGAGGTTTCGCCATGCTCCGGCCCGTGGGCGCCTCGTGGGCGCCTTGTGGGCCCCCCATGTCCGCCGAGGTTTCGCCACGTTGGCGCCCGTGCCGCCTCGTGGGCGCTCGTGCGCGCCCCGTGCCACGGGTGGACGGCATAGCTTATGCAACATAGCTCGCACCGCGTACATTACACCGCATAGCTTATGCAATATGACTCGCACCACTGAGATTACACAGCATAGCTTACACACCCTAGCACCTATCCTGTAGGTCACACCGCATAGCTTACGCGACCGAGATCACACGACCTAGATTACACCACATCGCTTGCACCACATGACTGATACCGCATGGCTTACACGACACAACGTACACCACATAGATTACACCGCATAGCTTTCACAACGTAGCGCCATGTGAAGCCTGAAGTCCGCAACGTCCCCACGATTGTCGCACGCAGTACCCCGTGTCCCTTGGCCCCCAGTGAGGATATGGATGCCAGTCGTCGGAGAAGAATCGAACCCGTTAGATAATCGCACTTGAAGAACGTGGTGATGGGCCTCCAAGAAGCATCCAGAGGGCCCCAAGTCCCCGGGAGACTTGAAAAAGCGCCAGGAGGCCGCCCACTAATCCTCCAAGAGGCCATCAAGAAGCCCCACAACACACGGTGAGGAAGAGGAGGGCGAATCAGCAACAACTACACGCAGACAGCACGACAGGAAGTGTCAACCAACACATGCAAACACATGATACCGGAGAAAAAAACCCAATCAGATTTTTGTTGGGGCAATGGGGCTATATGGGCTATATGGCTATAGGGGTAAAGTGATATAGGGCTCTAGGGCTATTGGGCTATAGGGGCTATAGAACCTTAGGGCTATAGGGCTATAGGGCTATAGAGCTATAGGGCTATAGGGCTATAGGGCTCTAGAGCTATAGGGCTCTAGGGCTCTAGGGCTATAGGGCCATAGTGCTATACGGCTGTAGGGCTATAGGGCTATAGGGCTATAGGGCTACTGGGTTATTGGGCTATTGGGCTATTGGGCACCCCTGGGCACCCGGGCACCCCCGGGCACCCGGGCACCCGGGCACCCGGGCCCGGCCACCGAAATCGGCCACGCACCTCACCGGCCACCCGGGCACCCGGGCACCGCCGGGCACCCGGGCACCCGGGCTCGGCCACCGAAATCGGCGACAAACCTCACCTAACCCTTTAATCCGCTAGGACCCCTACAGAGGCAAGCTCTGATTGGGGAACATTCACACACGAAATCGGAAGCCAAAGCAACACATATCCTCTTCTGGGGATCGGCCGAACTTCGCAAGTCCCTTGAATCTCATTTGAACAGCGCGGTGGAAGGCACCCCTCTTCTTGTAAAACCCATCGCACACCCAATACATGATGACACGCGCAGCTGAAGCACAATGGCTGAAAAGAGCACAAATGGCAAAGACGGGGGCGTCAATTGGGACACACCCGGAACACACAAGTCTGAGTGCTGTCCTGATATGGAGAAATCTGTGGTAAGATCAATACTCGCACGCCCGCGGTGATGATGACAAACACCTGTACCGCCGCTCATGCCATGTTTCACCATCCGCACGCTATCGAACAATGTCCCTCTCGTCACATGGTTATCCCTCTCTCTCACTCTCGTTTCTCTCTATCTCCCTCTCCCTCTCTTTCTCTCTTTCTCTCTCTCTCTCTCTCTCTCTCTCTCTCTCTCTCTCTCTCTCCTTCTCTATCTCTGTCTCTCTCTCTCTCTCTCTGTGGCTGTATGTTGATATATATATATATATATATATATATATATATGAGTATGTGTGTATATCTAGATATGTAGATGCATACATAAATGTGTATATGTCGGTGTTCTCATACGCACCTCTCCGAGGGAGTAGAGCTCAGAGGCGATTAATGCGTCCGTCGTTCGCGATGTTTCTGGCCGTTTCGCTCGGGACATCCTCGAAATTCTGAAAATCGGTGGCACCCCTCACGCAGATCGTGACGTCAGGGTCCAAAAACACATAGGATTTCCAACATTTTATCATAAAACCTTCAAAAACACATGGTAATTTCAATGATTTTGACTCCGATTCTCAGAGAATGGCGGTTTCGCCTGAGACATCCTCCCAAAATCGAGCCCCAGACCCCTCCTCGGAGCCTCCTGGGGGCCTCCTGGAACCTCCTGGGGCCTCCTGGGGCTTTCTGGACCTTCTGGTACCCCA